TACCAAGAAACCACAGGACAGCAAGGGTAAGGAGCTGGATCCCAGGAACAAAACGTGTTCCCGCCTAGGCTCTCGGAAAGGCTAGGACTGACGTTATCCACTCTCCACCAGAAATGCGTCAGGAACATGGCCTGTTGCCAATCTCGGTCCTTAAGCTTAGAGATCGAAGAGGCAGCATAGGGTACTCAGCAGGCCAAGAGGACAGAGGAACAGCCTTTAGTCATTGACCAGTTAGCAACAGCAGTAAACAAAGACCTTCTAAGTCAGTATTTCACGCACGCGCACACACACACCTTTCTACAGTCTAGAATGGAACAAATGGTGGTTAATCTTCCTAGATTCTCAGGATACAAAAGATAGATCGAAGCAGATGCGCTTTTTAATGAAAACATTTTAATCCACTTTTGTTCCAGTTTTTGACATGAAGATGGTGTGAGGTTGGTACCCTTGACAGGTCCTATCTCCAGGTTTAACTGATCCTTTTATAAATCAGTCTTTTTATCAAATTGAACCCTATTTAGGTAATAAAATATTTCATTAGTAAAAATGTTTCAGTGTTGTAAGACAGATGGGAAGAATACAACCACCCCTGCCCACGGGCCCCTTTCCCCGCTTTCTAACAAGGCCCCTATGAACCTTGTTGCAGGACAAGAAGGAGAGAGCTGTCTCAGAACCTTTGACTGTGGGCCTGGACTTTGCTGTGCTCGTCACTTTTGGACTAAAATTTGTAAGCCAGTCCTTCTGGAGGGGCAGGTCTGCTCTCGGAGAGGGCACAAAGACACGGCTCAAGCCCCAGAAATTTTCCAGCGGTGTGACTGTGGTCCTGGACTTCTGTGTCGAAATCAAGCTACCGGCAATAGACAACATGCACGGCTAAGAGTGTGCCAAAAAATGTAAGCAGCTGCAGATCTGGCCAAAGAAGACTCTCCACAGCATCCAAGCAGAGATCTCAGGCATCGACCTGAAAAGCCTTTCTTTCAAATCTCCCTTCAGATCAGCTCTTGCCGCGGCGGAAATAGACTGACACAGGCCCCAGAACTCTGGGTGCTGCCTCATGATGGGAGGGGTGATGTGGGCTTTTTGTCTGCCTCTCCAGGAAACTGATGTGATCTTGTAACACCCACCCCCCACATTAAAAAAATTTTTTTTGCCCTAGTGATTCAATTATTTCAAAATCAACCTGAATGGCTTATACATGACAGACAGTGCCTTGGGGGGAAAAGTGACAGGATCTGAAATTAAAAGCAAATGCATGATTAAAAAAATGCTTTATTGACTTTATAATTCACTTATCAGACAATCAATGGTTTAGTCATATTAAATAAGTGAATTTTGTATCTTAACTATGGGAGCCCTGGTGTCTTAGTTGTTAGGAGTTCAAAGCCACTCCAAGGAATAAGGGGCTTTCTACTCCCGCAAACAATCAGTCTTGCAAACGCACAGGGCGGTTCCACCGTGCCCTACCGGGTTCCTGGGAATCGGCATGGTCTCGGGCAGCGAGGTCTTCCCAATGGCAATCACCACAGCAGGCTTTCCCGAGAAAGACCATTTCGTAACTCGGTCCAAAAAGCAGTACAATTCAAACGGCATTAACATTTTCTGTTCGAATAGGCCTTTATGTTACAAAGCACTTTCCAACATACTGTTTCTAATGGCTATGCTTACCATTGATTCATTTTACATTTTTTCTTCCCAGAATGTTTGTATCTGAAAGCTAGAGCTATCAAGCAATGTTTCTACTTATATATTTTGACTGCCTGTATTTAAGTTACCTCGGACAAAAACGCAGGTCAAAAAAAGCGA